CAATACACATCAAGGGACTGTAAAGAAGGCGGCACCGCCACCTCGCATTTTTAAACTTTCCTTAGAATTATCTATCCTCTCCGAATCACCCTCAACTCGCTTCATCCGATTTCTGTAAAATGAACAAATTTTTTGAGCCTTCGGTCACATTTTTCCGTCTCCTTTTGGCTGAGAATTCATGCCGCAAAGTTTTCCCGGCATTTCAGTAGTTTTTCAAATTTCAAAATACTCGCAATTATCAAAAACGAATTAATTAGACCAGAGAAAATTTTGAATTTTCTCCCAAATCCCATAATTCATCCACGAAAATCTTTTTCCCACGGCATAACTATATTCATAAACTTCCCATTGTCCCACGAAATTTCTCCGAAAAATCTCAAAATCAAGTGTTTGAAAATATATATCTTCAAACAAAGAAAGTACTTTCTTTTCCACTTGAATATGATAACTCCCAGCCCAGATATTCCCATAATTTTCTCACCGGGCTTTCTACGCCGAATGACTCCTGATCCAGAAGGAGATCCAATCGGTAATACAATTCCACCTGAATAATCAAATATAAATCAGCGAAAAACGGAAGTACCCAGATAGACCTCCAGACGATGGAATTTGATGACACTGTTACCTATATTCTGGGAAAGAATTACCAATCATTACATATAGGAGGAAAAAGAGCGCTCATTAAGGGGCTTTAAAGATGGCCACGCCCCCACCTCCCATTTTTAAATATTCCTTAGAATTATTTATCCTCTTCAGATCACCCAGAACTCGCTTCATCCGATTTCTGTAAAATGAACAAATTTTTTGAGCCATCTTTCACATTTTTCCGTCCCCTTTTGGCTGAGAATTCGTGCCGCAAAGTTTTCCCCGCATTTCAGTTGTTTTTCAAATTTTAAGACACTCACAGTTATCAAAAACGAATTAATTACACTAGAGAAAATTCTGAATTTTCAGAAGGAAATGTCGCCGATTTTTCTCCAAAATCCCATAATTCATCCACGAAAATCGTTTTCCCCGGCATAAAAATATTCATAAACTCCCCATCGTCGCATAAAATCTCTCCGAAAAATCTAAAAATCAAGTGTTTGAAAATATATATCTTCAAACAAAGAAAGTACTTTCTTTTCCACTTGAATATGATAACTCTCAGTCCAGATATTCCCATAATTTTCTCACCGAGCTTTCTACGCCGAACGACTCCTGATCCAGAAGGAGATCCAATCGGTAATACAATTCCACCTGAATAATCAAACATAAATCAGTGAAAAACAGAAGTACCCAGATAGACCTCCAGACTATGGAATTTTATGACACTATTACCTATATTCCGGGAAAGAATTACCGATCTACCTAAAGTCTGTAATTTTCTCGCTTGCTAGATCAAGTTTGAGAGGAGAGGCCGCGGAAAACTATCGGCCGGTGCGTTCCCACGCGACCGCCATATTGGCCCGTCCTCTCTTTCCATTGAGATTCCGTGGAAGACGCGACGACGCGACCTACGCGAGACCTCAATTCAACCCAGTCACCACTTCAACTACAATTTTTCGCCTCTTTCTAATTTTAATGGCGTCATGCTCACTTTGGCATTAACAAAACAATCGTTACCCTTTGTACGTATTATGCAACTGAAAATTCAAGTTGACGTTATTTCAAATTATTCAGTGGGTCACCATTACGAAGAGAAAAGTTGTGGATAATTGGGCTTGTTTTGAATGGAGGTCGGTGAGAATTAAAAAAATTATGGCAGGCTAATTTTTTTTATTCATATTTTATTTTAATGAAGCAGTGATTTAAATTGATCCTCTCGACTCCAAGAGTTTTGATACGTGAGAAATTGCACAACTTAAAAGTTTGGTTTTATTTTTTTATCACTTCGGTTCTTTAACAAAAATTATTAAAAATTTGCGCAGGGAGGAGATAATGACGTCACAACTCCCTACACTTCGTAGTTGGCTCACTCCGCGGCGCTACGTGCGTTTCAGTGTGATAATGTTTTAAATAATACTACAACCGTATATGCACTGCGAATGTTTGATGTTGTAAAAAAAATTACGATAAATGTATGAGAGAAAGAAAGCAAAACAAACTAATGAATTTGTTAAATGGAATGAATCCTAAATAATATTTTTTTTTTATAATAATATTACTACAACATAATTTCATTTCTGTTGATCGCATCGATTTAATTTCTAGAAATGCAAATTCAACGAGAGATGGCGTTGGCAGACCGGAGTCGTGACGTCATTCAAGGTCATCTCAAACAAAGCGATGTGAAAATTTTAACTTTAAATTTAGGATGTAGTTTAACATGAATTAACGAATCCAAAAAAATGAAATATTCCGATTATCGTGAATAACAATACATGTGAAATGCCACACGAGATCGGCAGGAAAATAATGGCCGTCATTAATATTTCATTACAATATCAATGGTTAATGGAAAAAATTGAATTGTGATTTTCGAAATGAAAAAAAAAAATGAAATAAATAATGTTTCAAGCAGGAAGGGTGCAAAATTCATTTTCAAGTGTAATTCCTGATTAGATGAATAATAATTTTTTAATTTTAATTATTACTCATTAATACGGTATTAGAAAAATATGAACTTCTCAATATTCATTCATAATATAATGAAACTATTTACACGTTACGAACTTTGCCGCACTAATTTAATTTCTAAAAACACCACTTCAACGGAAGATGGCGTTGACCGACCGGAGTTGTGACGTCATTCAAGGTCACATGAGCGTTTTGAAATGATCGTTTTCCGCCCAAAACATATGCGCCATCAAAATGAACGAGTGAGCTGTCATTGTTATGCCTCCGCACCGTCTACAACTGAATTTATGATTATGACCTTCAACCAATTAACGCGTTAGCAGCAACAAAGAGCAAAGTGATCACCATCAATGCGGACCACCGCGACGCTCCCTCAGAATAAAACCGTGCAAAATGACATTGTCCATGTTACAAGTCATTATAAAAGTGATAAAACTCGCGTACTACTGTCATCTATGTACAGTGAGTATTTTCACACATCCACTATCTCGGTCATATGGAAACCTCTGCAACACTCCTTGTTCAACGTTTTTTATGCACTCGCCGGTGTGATGCAGCGGATTCTCATGCCCGCATTCCATCGATTCGCGATTTCTTTTATCTTGTTAACACCTATCTCCAGCCAACTTTCACGATTTTCAGTTGTACAAGCGCCAAAAAATTTTTATAGAAAAAACTAGCGAATTAGGTGGAAAAAAACAGGAGAATTTCATATTTATATACAACTTTTTCGATTAAAACATTTTCTGTAAAAATTCCTAAACATGAATTTTCTGAGTTCTTTTCATTAAAAAAATTAAACACCAAATTTAGAAAATTTTAATCGAGGAAAGTCTATAAAACATCTGATTCTATTAATTTTCCTATACAATGTGTTCTATTAACACATTTTCTATAGGAATTCTCCTGAATTTACTATTTTTCTTCCACTCTATTTTCTTCTTTTTTTATTAAAGAAGCAAACAAAAAATTTTGAAAAATTTGTACCGAGAAATTTCTATAGAAAATATATCAATAGAATAAGTTGGAACTTTCACGATTTTCAGTTGTACAAGCGCCAAAAAAATTTTTTAGAAAAACGAATTAGATGGAAAAAATTCGGAGAATTTGATATTTCTATACAACTTTTCTGATTGAAACGTTTGCTACAGGAATTCCCATGAATTTTCTGAGTTTTTTTCACTCTATACAAACTGCAAAATTCTGAAAATTTCAATCGAGGAATTTCTATAGAAAAATCTAATTCTATTAATTTTTCTATACATCTTTTTCTATTAAAATATTTTCTATAGGAATTCTCATAAATTTTCCATTTCGTTCCATTTTATTTTTCTTCTCTGTTCATTAAAAAAAATCAAACCCAAAAACTTGAAAAAAATCAACCGAGGAATTTCTATATAAAATATCTCAATAGAATAAGTTAGATATAAAAATCAAATTCTATTAATTTTTCCATAGAATATTTTCCATTTAACATTTTTATTCAAAAAAACGCGCAGATAAGCTGCTGAATTTTTCAATAGAAAACTAATAGAAACTCCATAAACTTTTGCGGCAAATTTGCAATTTTTTCTTACTAAATTTGTTAGTACATATAAATTTTTCTGAAACAAGCCTTTAGACCATTTTGTTCGTTTTATTATTTCTTCTCGGAAAATTTCACCCGCAAAATTATTCAGTAAAAATTCACTTTTATAACTTCATCACATAAATGGCGTCATTAGCATTCATATCTCTGATATAACGGGCCAAATAAACCCGTCCTTGTGCAGCCAAAGCCCTTCTCATATTTTCGAAATCTCCCCCCGAACTTTTATCGATTTCTATGTATCTCGAATAACGGAAATCAATTCGTCTGAATAATCTGTAGAACGTAGGAAATTGCATACTAAACTACGCGGAAAATGAATATTAATGGAACATAAAATCCATAAACATTCGTAAAGCCCGTATTAATCGTTGGATCTAGAAGAATCGAACTTTCTAAAGATACGGATAATTAATATCCATAAACAGGCTGATACACCGTACATTGCTGAAATATGTATCCACATTATGCAGATAACTGACGTGATTTTCCATTGATTGAAGTTGAGAAATCATGTCAGCCAAATTTCTGATCTAAATCTGAAGAGAAAAGCACTAAAACAATTCAGTAGCGAAGTAGTAAAACGGTTTAAGTCGATTTTCACTATCGGCCAGTTTTCAGTGAATATCTCGGAATCTAAGGAAGATAGCTACATTCTTATTGAAACCTTTTTTGTAGCACTCAATTTGCTCTAGAAAAAAGGTTATTACGAAAATTTCGTTACCTCCTTTGGATTCGGAGATATTCTTCAAAAACTCAACTAAGAGACAAGTCGACTTAAACCGCTTTACCACTTCGCTACTGAATTGCTGAAACCATAAAAAAAAAACAAATTGAACTAATAAATACTTACTGCTGATGTCAGTGTTTCCAATAAATTTGAAACCCCGTAAAATCCTTCATTGCGTTGTCTCCGATGAAAAAAATCCCACGTGTTCTCATTAAATCACCATCTCCCTCCGTTTCATGAATTCTTTAATCTCGTCTGCTCACTATTTTAAAAAAGTCAGTCGCGTGGTAATTCAACTATCTTATTTTCCCTCGCTTCGTCGCCTCACGAGACTTCCTCTACATCCTGCACTCAGTTTGAATGTATTTCTAGCACTATCGCCGCTAGTGGATTCCTCAATTAAGGTACATCCCAAGACAACACGACCCAAAAGTTAGTCCCTACGGATTTTCAGAAAAAATTGTCAATGACTTAAGGATATATTGCACCAAAATTCACTTTTCGCCAAAATTCACGTTTTTTGAATTTTTCTGGTAAATTGTTGATCGGATTGACATGAAAAAATATACCGTTTTTGCGCTTTATCATTACTTAATGACTCACGAAATTTCATGATCGTGCAATCATTTTCCTGCGTTTTTTCTAAAACTTTTCGGAAATTCACAAAACTTTAGAAAAAATGCAGGAAAACGATTGCACTGCCATGAAACTTCGTGAGTCAATCAATAATGATAAAACGCAAAAACGGTATATTATTTCGCGTCAATCCGATCAATAATTTGCCAGGAAAATGAAAAAAACCTGAATTTTGACCGAAAGGGTTTAGTACATCCTTAAGGATATCCAAGTACTTTGACTATTTTTTCTCCAGTGAAATGTTTTTCTACTTTTGTAGTCGAATATCAAAGCTTTCATTTGAGCCCCATTTAACCCTAAGTTTCCGGACATTTTACCATAATTTTATTATTTAAACTTTGCTGGTCTGAATTTTAATATGGAAATTAAACTGTTAGAAAACATTTTAAAATTGTGAATAAAAATTTAGAAAGTTTAGTTTTGGAGGAAGATTAATTAAATATTTTGAAAATTGCAATTTTTGAAAATTACAAACATTTTCTATGAATAATTTATTCAAATTAGATGTTATTAACCATTATTAACACATTCCTCAATTTAACCTACCCGAGTCGAATCCCAAGCACTTCAATTTTTTTCATTTCATGTACGTCTTTTCAATCTTTAAAAATAAGGAATTTATGAACATTCTATTTTCCACATTCAGAATTTTAACAGAAATTAATTTTATGTCTATAAAAATAAGGTTTCCAACAGTTTAAACAATTTCAATTATTTATTTACAAACAACGAATGTTTAAAAAAATAATAATTCTGTGCAAAATGTAATTTTAAAGACACTGAATATTTATGATTTTTTTTCAAATTTTTCTCACGGAATTTAATTGACAAATTTGATGATTGAAAGTGGTTGAATCTATAGTGTAGTCTGTACCAAACTGTAAAAGATACTTGGATATCCTTAATTTAGAGCATTCTCATAAGTTTTTCTATCCTCATAAGTTGTTGAAAGCAACAATAAAATAAGAAATGGTTTTATGAAATTTCCATTTTTTTCAATAGCTGGGGAATATTATAAACATTATCTACGAAAAAAATGGGGACAATCTTAAGAAAAACCTGTTGTCTAGGGATGTACCTTAAGGTATATCCCAAGATAATACCATTCAAAAGTTAGTCCCTATGAATTTCCCCTGGATCAATTATATCATAGGGGTCATAATTTTTCAATATTTGACCCGAAGAATAATTTTTCATTTATCCTGTAGCCCCATTTGAAATAACACTGATTTAACCTTGGGATTCAATTTAATTTTTTGTTCTTGGGGTAAATTTGAGCTACTCTCCTTGGTAAAATAATTTAATGAACATCCAAATTTTCTTTTTTTTGTCAGACGGTTTCGTTACCCGAAGCTGGTGCAACCGGGTCTAAATGGCTTAATTTATTGCACTCTCATAAGTTATTGAGTTTTGCTATCCTCATATATTATTAATGAAGGCAACAACAACTGTTTGAATCAAATAAGAAATTATTTCTTAATGAATTGTTTGAATCAAATAAGAAATGATTTCACGAAATTTCCATTTTTTAGAGCTGAATATCGCAACAATATCGAAACTATGAACTAGAAAATTTCACAAAAAATTCAGTCTGTTCGGAATTTATCAATCTACCATGGATTCGTTTTTTAATACCATCGTCAGAACCGTTTTCTGATGAGATGGAAAAATCGAGTTCGGGGGGACTCATAACATTATTTACTATCTCCTAAACTGTGTAGTACAGCTAGTTAGACTTTTTTTCAATAGCTGGAAAATATTATAACCATTATTTATGAAAAACATGAGGACAATCGTAAAAACCTGTTTTCCAGGGATATACCTTAAATAAGTTGTTCAATAAAACCTCATTCACTTCAATCGATAACATAATTAAAATGACTATCATAGATAAGTACTAAAAATGCACTGCTCAATCACTTGGAGGAATCTATAAATAATCACAATCACAGATTTTTCAAAATTGTTTATTGCACTATTCTCTCAGAATCAAGGAGAAATGTAATGTTTAACTTCACATGCACCAGTTGACAGATGCATTATAACAGTTTAGAGACACGAGTGGACGTGAACTCGTCACGAAGAAGCCCGGACGAGGACTGGAGACTGGCTGGAAGATTTTCATTTGGGTCACCGGTATACGAACACGCAGTATAGCGGATCTCAGTTGCGTTAGGTATCCAGTAACAGTGTTGGAGCGTTTTGTCTCTCACTGGTGCTGTTGGAGGGGAATTTGTGCTCTCTTGGGCATGGAAAAATCACTCGTATCGTGGCTGAAGGGGGGATGAATTGCTCAGAGTGAAGGTGCGGACAGCATGTTGTATGGGTTTTTCGATGGAAAACTATTCCAGGCATTTGGGGAATACATTCGTTAGGATGGATGGAGGAATGGGGAGTGAGCACTCAGTGAAATCCGGTACGAGGAAGTCACTTAGGTGTTTTTTTTGCTCTTGTGTGGATGAATATATTTCCTCATTAGGGAATTTATGGTTTCTGGTAAGGGATTTGTTTGGATTATTCTTGGCGTCTTTCAAGACACGCACGAAAAAATTCAATAGAAAAATCTATCGAATTCGTTAGAAAATTCTATTGAATTTCTATTAAACTTTCTACTAGTTTTTGGCCGATTCTATTGACATGTTCAATAGAACAAATGCAATAGAAAAAGTTAACAGAGTTCGATTTTTCTATATAATTTATTCTTTTCATATATTTTCTATAGATTTGCTCGACTCAAATTCTATTTTTCTTTTCTTATCATTAAGAAAATCAAACGAAAAAACTTAGAAAATTTGAGCCCAGGAAATTCTATAGAAAATATCTCAATAGAATAAGTTATATAGAAAAATTGAATTCTATTGACTTTTTCTACTGAATATTTTCTATTGAACATTACAATAGAATCGGCCAAAAACTAATAGAGCAGTTCAATAGAAATTCAATAGAATTCTCTAACGAATTCGATAGGTTTTTCTATTAAATTTTTTCGTCCGTGGGGGCCTTCGGGAAGGCTTGATCATGTTGATGTTTTTTCATTTTCAAGTTTGTGAAAATTTTCGGGGAAAAATTGAGTGCATTCTGATGGATTTCGAAGTGTAAGGGAGATACCGAAATTTTTGTCATGACCTTTTTTATAGCCTTCAGTACTCTATCTTTTTTTACATTAACGAAGGAAATTTATATAGCGTTCTACATCTTTGTAACGTCACAGGAAATGATCGGATGGGATTTGGATGAGGTAGGAGGGGATCCGGAATTATTCTCAGTATGAATAACGAGAAAATTTTTACTGAAAAAAATTGATAGTCCAGCCCTCAACGTACTCTACAAAAAAGATCATTATGAAAATTTCATTTTCTTCCTTAGATTCGAAGATATTCCTGGAAAACTTAGAGAAGAATTATTCCATGGAATAAAATTAATTGAATTAAATTTTTTTTGTGGATTAGTTTGAGGACAAGCGAAAAATAGAGTGGGATAAATTTGGAAAATTCATGTTGAAGAATTTCTGTAGAAAATGCATCGATAGGAAAAGTAGTACAGAATGATGAAATTGTTTTTTTTTAAGGAATAATTTCTATTGGACGTTTTCTATTCAAAAATGCACATTAAGGCTGTAGAATTCTTCAATAAAATCTGCAATTGCGATTGCGATTTTCAGTAATAGGTCAGTAGAAATTATTCGATAGGAAAAATCAATAGAATTAGTTATTTCATTTAGAATTAATTTTTCATTTGATTCTTTAATATAAAAAAGAAAAATAGAGAAAAATAGGCATCGGCATAATCATAAATTTCCATTAGAGTTGAATTTTCAATAAATTAATTGTTAATATTTCTCATCAAATTTTAAATGATTAAATTATTCATCAATTAAATATTCAGATTCCAAATTATTTTATCAATCAATGATTGAGTTCGAAAGATTATTTGGCTAATCGAAAAATACTTTTATAAAATTTAGAAATATTTACTCAATAGTTCATTGGAGATTTAAATTACCAATTATTATATTATTTTTCAAATTTCAGTAAACCTTAATTATTGTAAAGTGCAACTTCTCATAATATTACTAAATTAATAATTGATGCCGAGCGATGATCAATAGAAAAAGTAGTACAGAAAGACGAAATTTTACTAATTTTTTTCTATAAAATAGTTCCTATTCTATATTTTCTATTTAAAACACGCACAGCAATAAGCAGCAGAATTCTTCAATAAAAAATTTAATAGAAATCCAATAAAATTTTCTATAGGTTTCGCTAGGTTTTTCTAAGAAAATAGCATATTTTTCTTGAAAAAAATGCCAAAAGAAATTCTCACAATATTTTTTCTGCAATGGCCTGTTGAAAAAAAATCACCACTGCTTGCTGAAAGAACACTCAGCAACAAAAAACGTCTCGTAATGTTTTCTAATATTTAAAAAAATAACTCGCAAAACAAGTTACAAGAACATTCTCTCCCCTCTTTATTAACAAAAACTTGTGCATTTTCGTAACTCGAAATTTCTCACAACGAAGTAAAAAGAAAAATGTCCAACCAAATGCGGCATTAGCAATTATCATTTTTATTCGTAAAATGTAATTCTCTATCTACCCGGAAGTTCAGTTGGCTTCCATGTGCGGCATTAATGGTAGTACCCGAAGAAGTCTCTATCACTCGGGGGGTTACAGTAACGAGCCTGGCTACTGCCTCGCGAGCAATTTTGTTACGCTTTCACTCTTCATTCCATCACACCGATTATTTTCAATCTTCAACACACGCATTTCAGGATTTGAAAAAATAGGTGCACTTTGCGTGAATAATCTATATGTATAGGAAATACAAACGAAAGTTTGTTCGATAAGAATTCTCTCAATAATTTTTACCCAAAAATAAAATTGATGAAATATTCCTATTTGGAATATTCAACTTCCTTTTCGAAATTCTATTGGATTTCTATTGAAATATTCAATCGAAAATATTCTACAGAAAAATTCAGTAGAATTCGTTTTTTATTATTTTATTTCAATTTTTCTTTTCTTTTCGTCAATAAAATCAAACAAAAAAACATGAAAAATTTAAGCCGATGAAATTTTGCAGAAAATATCTGAACAGAATAAGTTGTATAGAAATCCAATCGAATTGTCCAGCGAATTCGCTAGATTTTTCTATAATTATTTCATCCGTGTTTTGTTCCTTCATTCTTCACGACTGCATCAAAATAGGAGTTTTAGGCTTTAATTCAACGTAAGTAGAATAGTCCAGTCTTAGTACAACATAATGATTGTTAGCGAATACTCTCCGGAAAGGATGGGCATTTCCGCTGTACAAAATGGGACAGAGAGGACGTTTTCCGAGTCGTTTGGCTCGACCATTGTCCGAGATGTCCCAGAGGTCCACCATTCGACAGCCAGATTTCCTATGGAGAAATTTTAATTATCATGCGGGAGATAATCAACGTGAATTATAAGTTATTCCCATTCTCTCATGCTATTCTTGGTGGGAAATTGTTCAATTCCTTCAATCGTTCATTCTTCATTATTCATTCTTCATTCTTCCCACAATCAATGATTTTTTATTCCTCAGTTTTATCTTAACTTTATAATAAAATTAAAATGACAATGCGAGTTGTATCACGCAATATTTCTCCAGGTGTCTGAATAAGAAATTGAGGCAATTTCACTGGAATTGATACAGCGAATCGTCGACTCGAGACTCTCCGCGTCAGATTGTAATTTCAAACTTCTATGTCAAGGACTTGAAATGCTGATTTATCCGCACTTTTCTTATTCAACGAGATGAATGTAACACGATCAAGAACAATGACTGCAGAAAGTTTCATTCAGGAGCGAGTGCTCAGTGAAAGTGATAAAAATTAATCTTCTGTTGTTTTTTACTGTTTCAACGAGGGGATTGAATGTCCCGAGACTTGTGAGGGTCATACGAGGGATAATATTATGCTGATTGAATTGTGGAATCAGATATATTGAACGGGGAAATTCTCAAATACGAAAACGTGAAAACAATGAATAACAGTAGGGATGAAGTTCAGTCGACTTCATGTGAGACGGTTGCACGCTCGCTAGGAGCGCCTGCAGACAGGAGAAAAATAGAAACCAGATATTTTATATAAGTTATCTCTCTCGTTGTCCCCTTATTCAATGAAATTTCTACGGCTAATCAACTGATATTGATAATTAATGACTCAATACGCGTTTAAATTAGGGATGTAAATTGACGGTAATTTTTTACATGCGTTAAGGATGTACTACACCCTTTCGACCAAAATTCACGTTTTTTTCATTTTTCTGGCAAATTATTGATCGGATTGACGCGAAATAATATACCGTTTTTGCATTTCATCATTACTGACTGACTCACGAAGTTTCATGGTAGTGCAATCATTTTCCTGCATTTTTTCTAAAGTTTCTACGAAATTCCGTCACTTTTGTCTGACCAAAAATAGTCAGTATCGGCCTTCGGTCAGTGACGTGTAATTTACGTGTAAAATTGCGGTTAATTGACCGGCCAGCTTTGTCCGTTATATCCCTAGTTTAAATGCTATTATTTCATGTAGTATAGTACTCTGTCAACGGGAGTGGTAAGTGGAGTGATCATAAAATGTCTTCTTACCCAGCCCCAAGGCCATAGCAGTTCCCCTCATCGAGTATTAAATAATCAACCTGCATTTTCCTAAGTGTCTCATAGACAGCTGCTGCGTCTTTCCTACTGTATATCTCGTAGACTTTCAATGTCCTGTCCCTGGAAACGTCGTTAACATTAATGTTAAATATGCAACTCCATTGGAATTTTCTCAAGCTGAAAACTCCAGTCATTAGAATGCAGAACAAGTTTACATAACTGATGCAAATTGGCTCGATAATAATTGATAATTATTTCAACTAGTTATTATAATCGATGCTTATCAATGGAGGAATTATCTCATGAGTAATTAAAATGAGATTGAAATGTTCACCTCATCTCCGTACTTTCATAATATGGATTGTTGACAATTGCTCGTTCTGTGGATAGCAATAAATTAGCCATTATCGACATTTTCCCAGCGAAAACTGCATTCTTCGGGGTGTTTGCATTAATCCAATCAAACAACTGCTCCTGTTCAATATTACTGTATTCCCCTAGATGAGAAACAATCAGGATGAAACAATTTCTTCATAAAAATGGGAGGTTGAAATTAGCGAAACAAATATTTTCAAGTCATGAGAAAATTTTTTTCCACTGATAATTCAATTTAAAGGATTTTTTAGGGTTCAAGGGTTAAACAATCCCTACTGAAATCATCTGCCCATCAAACAATTTTGCTCACATAAATTCTTTGATTCCTAAACTCTAAAAAATCGTGACGTTATTTTTTGACGACAATTTTTTGACGAAAAAATTTCTTTAACAATTGAACCGATACACACGGTGGTGACAAAAAAATGATTTCTATGAAATTTAATTTGACTGTGATGACATTTTTAATGATGTGAATACTTCTGAGTGAATAGTATTCTGTGACTGGAAATATTGTTATCTGTTGTGTTGGATGAATGTTGAGAAAAAAAAGAATTCGATAAAGGAAAAAATTGATGCAATAGCTCGTTGGAACTTTTAACCAGTTCCGTTCGTGAGAAGATACATGAGTGTATAAATACAGCTGAATAGAAAGTATAATATATAAAAAAATATAGAAGATAGAAAAATCGATCATTTGAAATAATAATAATTCTTTTCAGTAAAATATGAAAATGTTATTTTTTCGAACGATTTAGGTTTTGTTATTCACGACATAAAGCGCCGAAAAATCCTGTTTCGCTAAAAAATATTCTAAATTGAATTTCGCTGCAGAATAGAGGGAACAGGCCAATACCTGGACGATTTCACCTTTTATTGAATATTCTATAAACAATAAAATGAAAACTGTACAGACTGTTATCATTATCAATAATAACACTTAGGTATAATCACATGATGAAGTTTTTTCTTTCGAAATATCAACATTACAGCGAGAAAAAAAAATATTCGGGAGGTAGTGTTGGCTGGTGTGGCGCTGCAATTTGCTAAGCATCAGTGACAAAGTGTCGTAGAGAAAGAAAAGAAATTCTCTTCCGAAAGAGTCAGATGTGGGAAATAGCACAATATTTTCAGGAGGATAATCACATCCAGAAGATTAAGAATCTATTTGGCCTTGTATTTCTTAACATTCAATAATACAAAATTCACATGTTTGTGTGAACTGGATGAAAATTCTATATTCCTCCAGACCGTCCATTTACTGGCCCTAGCGTCCAGTTATTGGGGATTTGGACGATATTCCACTTTTCTCTCATTTAATTATTCTTCTCTTCATTTTTTCCACTTCAAATTATTGTTTTTTCCTAATTTATACATCCTTTCAGAACTAGAACTCATGTTTTATTCATTCAGCTACACTGTTAGAAAATTACTCTTGAAATTTCAAGTAAAAAATCGTGAAATTTTTAACAACAAATAACTTACATGGAATTTTCATTGATCTTATTATTGATAAATCAGTCAATTTTCTTGAATATTCAATGAAATTTGATTTCTCAGGTTCATACAACAACGAAAATTACTGAAAATCGTGAAAATTCAGGCAACTTTTCTTTTGAATTTTTAATCTCTTGAAAATTCAATTGAATGTAATGCTCAATTTTCACGATAGGTTTGAAAATCCAAATTGTCATTGAAAATTCAATGATCATTCATCATGAAAAACTTAATTTTATTGAATTTCCAAGATGAAGCAGGAATGCCATGAGCAATTTAGTCTGAAATCGAATTCGAGTTCCGAATATTGAAAATTCAAATGCATCTGTTACTTAAATTTCAGAAAACATTCAACAGTGTACTTCATCGATTTAAAATCCTTTAATGAAGTTCAACATTCCCGTAACCGTCCAACTATCAACCTGTTTACCCTACTCCGCTAGTTTCACCTCCACCATAAAAACGTACGAAACATTCCACTTTTTTTCTACATAAAATTCCTCAATCCTACCATAAAACTGTCGTTCCTCCTGCACCCGTTGTGCCCCATGGTACGCCATAATGGCAACAAGAGTGACAAAAATGGTGAGCCTAAGGCGTTCCCTCTTGATTCCAACAACAGCCAGATACTTGCGACTGGCTACCATGCCAGCGATAATGCACAAATGGGGAGTCATAAATAATTTAAGTCTCATGACTAAAAATGCCATGACAATAAATGCCCCAGTTTGCAGTCCATTGTATGCTGTACCCGGCTCAATGCACTCTGGATATCCCCTAGCTTTGAAATTTCTGTACCAATAATAAACAGCGAGAAATCCAGCGAGAATGGCTGTTGGCAGTAAAAATGTTTTAACAATAATTTCGTAAGTCTCGTAAGGCAGAAAATCGAATTCAGGGGAGCAGGTGTACAGCATTGTGTGAAAGTCCCTGAATCCTGATAATTTGGATCTCAGGAGATTGTAGATGTGGTGATAATCGTCGTAATCAATCATCGCGGATTTCATGAATCGGGCGGAGCCTATCGTTCCGATGACATCGGAGAACAGTAGGAGATAGGGATTCCAGAGGCCCTCGACATGAGCATTCATCAGATTGACGTATGTGGCACCCACTACCAGGCAAGTGTACATGGAGTTGACGACCATTGGTCCTTGGTAGAAGGTGAAGGCGATGGCTATGATGTGGTGGAAGAGCAAGTAGAGGGTCACGTAGCGTGGGATTATTCTCAGCCATTGGAGAATTAGCAGGATTATTACTTGGATCGTAAAGATGAATTGGGAGAATTGCCAGGTGAAGAGGCAGAGCTTCGTTACTATGAATATGTCCTGAAAATAATGGAAGCTGTTTCAAAATTTAACTTAACGCCGCATGTTGGCTCTGGACAATTATTTCGGGGTATTTTTTCCTAATAATTTAGTAATTTATTAGAGGATTTAATTTTCCTATTAATTTTTAATATATTTGTGTTCATTATTTTTGTGGGTTGTACTTGGCATGGTGTCCGGTTAATTCATCCCACGACAGTTTCATCTCATTTTTTCATTATTACTAGATTAGTCCGCGCGCTTTGCGCGCGTATGTCCTACTTCATGGGGCTCAATGTATGCCCATTGTAGTGAATAGTGTTATATTAGATTTCTGAAGTTAATATCAAGTTTTCCGAAGGAAGAGTTTCAGAAATTTGTATATTGTATTTTTTTTATATATAATACATCCAGTGTTACGTTTTTTTAAACCAATCTGTTGTGCGTATTATCATTAGATTTTTTATAAATGATGCCACCATACATTAAAAATATTACGATAATAAAAAAAAATTAAGTAATAAACTGATAACAATAATAACATACATTGAGAATACGATATTGTGTTACATTACATGTATTATTATATATGCCTAATGTATTATAATATAATATATTATAGAATATCATATAATATAATATTATCGTACTATCTTTAATGTATGTTATCATTTATGAAAAACCTAATGACACAATACGCCGAATAGATTGGCTTCAAAAGACGTTACATTGAATTTTTAAAAATTATATTACTGTTTGGATGAAGAATACGTTTGACTAAAGCGCGTAACTTATCGGATTAGCAGAGTGTTGACCGTTTGTTGTTGTTGTCATTATTGAATCGATAGTTCCTTCGAATATCAAATTCTGTCATTCATGGCATTCAAATTAAGAATGATTTGACCGCTTTTCTGCAATGTTTCCTGTTAATTAGTTGATCGGTTGTGTAAACAATACTAGGAGGGAATCGTGAAGTTTCTGATTGATTTTGATGTTGCGTTTAGTGCCTTTTTCAGTGAAAATAAGCCATCGATAAACTACATGATGCCCAATAAAATTATTAATTTGTGGGCTAAAATTAACATCAAGTGAATTTTCTGGAGCCCTGGGCCCTAGGCCTTCTCTCAATCAATTTATTCCAGTCGAATTTGGATTAATATTGCGATACTCCTCTTCAAATTCCTGAGCGCCAACAATACCAAAAATACTAGAAAATTCCATAAATATCCAGAAATGCCCACAGAATGAAACGCGACACCAGAATTGAATGCTCTAAAGAATCATTTATGCTGTTTAACCAAAATAAAATACAGAATTTTACAAAATCAGAAAAAGATCGTATTTGAACCAATATGAATGAAATGAATAGTAAATTCAAAATGTTAGGGGGTGAAAATGACCCACCTGACAATTAATCAAGAATATGATCTCGCAGAACACACCAGAGATAACACATAGAGATTACAACTCAGAAATAATTATCACAATTATGAATGTGGGGAAGATTCCCCTCAAAATGATTTGAAACCAAGGATCCACGTATGGAAAAATCGTATAGAAATATTCTATACGGATTACGTATAGACTTTCTATAGGATTTTCGTATATGATATTCGAATATTTCTATACGGATATGTTTTATACAAATTATTTCTATACGATTTCTATAGGTTTGATCCTATACGACCCACTGCCACATGTATCGAAACATTTCGTATGGAGTTGCAACATTTCTCTACGCTTTTCTCTGCAATGTTTAGACACCTTTCGTGTGAATACAAAAATTTATGTAAATATTTATATATAGAAATAATTTGTATAGAAATATCAGAATATCATATACGGAAATCCTACAGAATTTCTATTCGCAATCCGTATACGATTTTTTCATACGTGAAAAACCATGCATCTGATCGATGTCACGGATACTTAACTCACTCAGCCCACAAATCAAGGTTCAGGGTCTTCCTAGACCTCTTTCACTCTTAATTTGTGATCATCAACAATTTTTGCATGTTTGGTTTTCAGAGCCTGAGGGGGCTTGAATTACGAGCGAAACGTTGCGTATTGACAATAACATAGTACAGTTTATTGTTGTCCCTGGCTAAGGGAGCACCCAAGAAGGTATCTTATATAAAGAGTCAACTGTATTGAAACAAACACGTACCGTATAAGGATTATCCCACAGAATATTCCTCCACGTGAGTTTCTTCTTCTTGAATGAGTATTTATCAAGAAACATGGTAACCCTGAACATCTGGAAGAGCAATAATGGATACGCAAAACTCTCCCTGAGTGGTGGTGTCCACTGGACTCTAGTGCACTCAGTATGATTGAAGAAGAACGCTAGAATAGCGATCAATCCCCCGTAAATTGATCCACTCAGGTAGGTAGCGTATAGGAAGAGCACTGATCCAGTCATCATGGCTAGGGACCAGACAATGGCTATATAAAAATACGATGGCACTGATAGCCCTTGGCAGCTCATCACTGAGGAGAGCCCATCTCCTCTTTCGGTCTACAATAATTTACATTTTTAATTGAAATGTTTCCAGTTACTGAATCTTAATTACTAGAATTTCATTTATTACGATTAATTGATTGATTGATTAATTGATTGTGATTGTTCCTCCATTACCTGCCAACATTGGGGTTCTCCAAGGAGGCCCAATGATTCAGCAAAGCGATAAAGCGTTCCTGCGTAGATCTAAAATGGAAAAAAAAATTTCCTCTAAATTTTTTTTACGAAATCCCTCATGAAAGTGTCTCAACTAATTTTAGTTGCGAAAACCTCAATTGAATACAAAGTGAATTTAGTTCTAAGTCTAAATAAGAAAGAACAATTCAATAAATAAATAAATAAAAATTAATATATAATATTAATATATATCCTCAGAGATTTCACAGCTATTTTAGACACAATTAATGTGATATTTTGCTGGTTGAAGGACAGCGGAGGAAATGTTCGTCAGAAAAAGTTTTAATCACGTTGTCTTAGGGTTGTTGGTGTTGTTTAGGTTCTTCTCATTAAGAGCTAATGCACCGCCACGTCCTCGGCGTGACTCCTGGGTAAAAAGCGAAGAATGGTTGCTTTCACATATTGACAATTTTGTGTTGTTGAGGAGAGAAATTGATTCATCTTAACCCAGACCAATCTTCCAGTTAATTTTGGGTTCTTGAAGATAAAATCTACAGATACAGAAGTGATTAATTCTGTCATCTTACACATGGACTTTAATTGATTGATTACAACATCTATAAGTGGAATAGTTATGTGAGTATATATCCTCAGATTTCACTGCTATTTTAGACACAATTAATGTGTGATATTTTGCTGGTTGATGGACAGCGGAGGAAATGTTCGTCAGAAGAAGTTTTATTCACGGTGTCTTAGGGTTGTTGATGTTGTTTAGGTTCTTCTCATTGGGAGTCGATGCACCGCCACGTCCTCGACGTGACTCCTGGGTTAAAAGCGAAGAGTGGTTGGTTTCACATATTGACAATTTTGTGTTGTTGAAGAAAAAAATTGATTCATCTTCACCCAGATCAACCTTCCGGTATCCGGTCTAAATGTTACGGTAAAAAATATTACGCCATAATATTACGGTAAATAATATTACGATCCAAATTGTTACGGGATCTAATTATTATTAGTCGTTTTTATTATTGGAAATAATATTACAACGTTTTCACCGACGTTGGTATTATTATTTATTGTTATTTTCCGTTATTTATAGCATTTCTTTTGTTTCACAAATTCGTAATTTGTTGAATAAAAAACCTTTGTGTAATAGTAGTTTTGCGCCTTTTTCGCTGAGGATGAAGTGAAGAGGTATGGTAATTATTTCAACGCACCCGTGTCGAGCATTCCGATATAACTAACTTTTGTTGAAGAATCTTCGGTTTTGTGTGTGAATGTCTGAGGGAATTTTATTTTGTTTTGGGGGATTAATATAATCATACCAACTCATACACCTGTTGAGTAATCGATGGTAACTGACCTCGGGTCATATTTTTTGGTATTGGGCTATTATTGTATCGATTTGATTTTCGGAGAATTCCTAATCGAGCGGATAAAGGTTTATCCTTGATTCCATACCTTTATATATGGTAATATTACGGTTCCATAATTTTTTGTCCCGTAATAATTTTCTGCGTAATATTTTGTCCCGTAATATTTTTGCGTAATATTTTTTACCGTAATATAATGGTTCCGTAATATTTAGACCTGCAACCCAACCTTCCGGTTAATTTTGAGTTCTTGACGATAAAATCCATAGATGCAGAATTGATTAATTCTGTCATTTTATATATAGATTTTAATTGATTGATTACAACATCTATAAGTGGAATAGTTATGTGAGTATATATCTTCTGCGATTTCACTGCTATTTTAGACACAATTAATGTGTGATATTTTGCTGGTTGATGGACAGCGGAGGAAATGTTCGTCAGAAGAAGTTTTATTCACGGTGTCTTAGGGTTGTTGGTGTTGTTTAGGTTCTTCTCATTAGGAGTCGATGCACCGCCACGTCCTCGACGTGACTCCTGGGTTAAAAGCGAAGAGTGGTTGCTTTCACATATTGACAATTTTGTGTTGTTGAGGAGAGAAATTGATTCATCTTAACCCAGACCAATCTTCCGGTTAGTTTTGCGTTCTTTCACATATTTCATTCCATAATCATCCATACGTTAACAATAATTAAGAAAAAATTGCCAGTAACTTTGATTTTTAGACCAAACAAATGGAGGGGAGTATTGTGTCACATTACCGCGAATTTTTTGTTACAACTTTTTTTATAGACCGAATTGAGATCTACAAAAAAGGTAGTTACGAAAATTTCGCCATCTCCCTTAGATTCGGAGATATTCCTGAAAACCACAACTGAGAGCTGAGTTGACTTAAATCGCAAACAATGCCTTGCCTTCAGGGGTTTACTTACCTCTGGAAATAAATTATACGTTCTATCTGCATTAATGACCTTAGGAAACTGTGACAAATTGTCACTCCTCAGTCTATCGAGACCCTCTTGCCAACTTGGGGCTTCAATCATCAGTTTATAATAATAGTAATACATTCCCTGAAACAAAAAAATCATAAAAATTTCAATTAACATTGTTTACAAATGGAAATATATTTCCCACCATTTCAGTTCGAAAGGACATTTCCCTCTCCATCTCCGAAAGATGGGAGAAATGTCTGTCATTTTCGAAAAGCGTTGAGACGTGCCAGCGGTGAAGTAGACCGAACCCTAGAGCTGTGTGAAAACATTGGATTAATTAACGCAATGGAACATTATCTCGAGTGTTTATGGTCGCTTAGAAAAGAATTTACTCACACAAGAACACGAGGAGAAGGATGTAGGCAATCCTGGCAGCAGCCATTTCCCAATTTAGCCGCCAGTTTTGCGATATTTTCGTGATTCTCTAATGATGAAGACAATTTTTCCCCCAGAATCATCAAGAATTCACCGGCATCTGAAATGCAATTGTAATTATTCCTTGATTTTTTTTATGTATTTTGTTGCACCGGCTACTGACCCGACCTCTGCAACATCTTGAATTCCGGATAAAACACGCCCATGCCCAGTCGACAATGAAGTTATTAATTTCCGAATGCTGCAATAGATGGCAGCAGTGACACCGTCATGCGCAGAAACGTCTTTAAACGATCGGCGGAGTGAATTAATCGAATTAGGGATGGGCGATGTTTTAAAAAAAATCGATTATCGACGAATCGGTATTTTTCAAAAACATCGATCTTGTATATCGATTTTTCTGGAAAAAATTTCGATTATTAAAAAAATTGATGGTTTTTGTCATGACACAGAAAAAGAACAAATTTTTTAAAATAATTTTTTGAATGTTGTTTTTATTCAAAATATATTTTAAAATAATAAAATGAAATAATAATATTTATAATAATAATATAATAATATTTTAAAATACAATGCGAGTGACTTACGTTTCTATCATGAGAACTGCTGGAGAGTCAAATTTTGAATCTCGAAACGGGGTTGTTGATTAATTGAAAAAAATATATTAAATATTTTCAGTGGCTGGACGTTAGCTGCAATAATTTTTGATTGTTATATATATTATTATTGATAATGGTTGTGGTTCATAGACTGAAAAAAACAATAAACAATTGGATCTGTCCACTCACCTTAAGGCACATGCTGCAATAAATAATTACTTCCGATTGCGGATAAATTATTTTTTTTATCCTCAATCAATCAACATCATTATTCAACATTATTATTCGATAAAAAAAAATTTGTTAGCTTGCTCAAAAACATTGATGTGTTTGGAAAACAGAATCGAAAATCGATTAATCATCTGTTGAGAACATCGATGTTTTCGATTAATCGACCAACACCGCTTATCCCTAAATTGAGTGGCATTTCAATAGAATCGATCAGCTAAAGTGCAACCCAACAAAAAGACATGAATTCCCAATATTTCTCGGGAATGAGTCACGCTTAATTTCCGAATGCATCAATAGGTGGTGGTAGTGACACCGTCATGCGCAGAAAGGTCTTTACACGATCGGCGGGGCGAATTAATCGCCCGCAAAACGCCTACACATGTCGCAAAATTGAATGACATGTCAATGGAATTCATTCAACTGAAGTGCAACAAAAAAAAGGCATGAATTTTCAATATTTCCCGGGAATGAGTCACTCGCACTCCACTGATAGCATAAAAAAAGTGAAAATAACAATCTGACATTCAGTGAAACCTCAACGCCAAAGAGACGGTGCGCAGACTCATGAATAGACCCGCGTGAAAAATACCACCGGTTATCGATTAGACGAGTGGCACTCGTGTCATGGAGGATCTCCTGCAACAGATCGTGCGGGACTCACAAAATGCTAAACTATCGAATTTACGAAAAGCAGCGCAAGATGCCTACGGTAAGTGCTCCGATACCTTTGTCCATTAATTGCCTTCATAAACCGTTGATTTACGGACTTCAGAGTTCATGGAAAAACAGCAGGGACTGCTGCGTGATCCCCCTCATGAACTGCGGAGCAAGTGTCTTCATGCTATTCAACTCGCGCTGGAAACAAAAAGAAGTAAATTTGTGTCCTACGGAATTTCTGGATTACACGTAGGTATATTTTGTTATAATGAGAATTGCTTCTCTTATTCCGACGCGCGGTGACAGGACTTCCGGTTTGTTTTGATAACAACTTGGGCGTTTGGTGATAGTGCAGCCGGCTTTGTTGATTTATCAATGTCAGATTTTGGCATTGAAGGGAATTGATTGATTTAGTTACGAGTTTTATAGTTATACTTTTTACGATAGGATTTTCCGAAGAAACTATTTGAAATGAAGATAGAAATGATCGTCACCCCGGGATTTTTTTCGAATTTAAGCATTTTTTTTAGGAAACCTTCGAATTTTTTTGAATTTTATAGGAAATCGAAAAATTTTAGTCGCGAGTCTAGAGTATTCTTCATTTTTACAGAATGTTTTAGAATTTTTGAGAAGTTTCTATGAAAATCCAATAATTTTCTCAATTAGTAAGAGAAGCCGAATTTTTTCCAATTTTCCCCGAACCCTCGAGAATATTATAAAAAATTTGGGAATATTCTAGATTTTTCCAGAAAGTTACAGAATGTGAACTGTACAAGGCAGCGCAATAAATTCCTATAATTGAGTAATCAGTTTTATAGTTATATTTTCGGGATTTTTGAGAATTTCTACAATTTTTTGTTAGAAAACCTAAAAAATGTATTAGAAAGTCCGAAATGTGCTTCATTTTTTCAGAATATTTTAAAATTTTCGAGAAGTTTCTATGAAAACCCAATAATTTTTTCAAATAGAAAAAGAAGGCAAATTTTCTCAAATTTTCTTGAAACTCCGAGACTATTATTAAAAATTTAAGAATATTCTATATTTCGCCAGAAAGTTCCAAAATTTTCCAGAAAGCTCTATAATTTTCTAGAAGTTTGTACGCTGTATACTGAACTATCCAACCCTATCGGGTAAACTATTCAACAATGAAAATGCCATTGAAATCCATTCAGTTATTTTAACGTTAATCGCAAACAAAGAATCGGCAACAGATTTATCATTTCCAAAATTTTTCATCCGATGGATTGAAAAAAATTGCAGAAAATACTGAGAGACGATCGATTTCAATCGCCCTACGAACCGGAGGATGACTCACTGTGGCTGCCAGCTCAGATGTTGCACGCAATGGGATCCATACTGTCCCAGTCCGACGATACCCAAACGGATATGCTTAAGGTATTGATAATCCTCATTAACATAACACCCGGGTTTTTAATCTATGATAATGTCCCTCACTGTAGGTGCTGTTGCAAGTCGCCTGTTCGGCGTACTGGACGATGAACGGTCGTTTGATTATTGCCATTCTCACGACGTGCTGCGAAGCTTTTGAGAATGGCAACCAAGCGGTTAGGACGGCTGCACAGGCGGCGACTAGTCAGACACTCAGGTCATTTTGTTTATTCTTGGGTGAGTTTTTATTATTTACAATTTTTTTGTAATACCTGGCTGAAAAGTGCACTTTTCGTCACTGGGCCCGATAAACCGCGATTTTAACCTCGATTCATTCGGTTAAATCGCGGTTTTCGGGCCTAATGACAAAAAATATTGTTCGACACGGCCGTGGGAACTTTTCTACCTCATATGATTACAGGACTCGCCCTCGGCTCGTCCTGTAACCTCATATTCGCCAGAAAAGTTCCTCACGGTCTAGTGTCGAAATGTACTATTCCATCACTTGTGTGTAAAATCTCATTTTCCACACATTGCGATGAAAAATATAGGGTTTGACGAGCGCCAAAAAACGTTTTTTGATTATATCTGCCTGAAAAGTGCACTTTTCGAAACGGTTTAGTGTGCGTAAAGCAGTTGTTTTCCGCACGGCGTGCGTAAAGTTCACAAACGTGCGTAAAATGAAAATTCCACAAGAATTCACTCGAATTACAAGAATATTCACTTTACACACTTGAATTTTAATTTTCATCATGACGAAAAATAGGCTTCGATACTCGTGGGAAAAGTGTTCTTTGACCCTTGGGAAAGTAGCACTCGCCTCTGGCGACCGCCAAAATAGTATATTGTGCTACTAGTCCGTAAAGATTCACTGTTTCACACGCACGTGTTCACATCCTATTTTTTTGTGATACCTGCCGAGTTCACTGTTCGGAACGGTAGTGGGGGTAAAGTGGTTGTTCTTGTGCCTAAGTGTGTAGAGTTCAAGAACGTGTCTAAAGTGAATTTCGATTGTGTAAGTGATGCTTGACGCACGAGATTCACTTTACGCACGTCGTGCATAAAGCGGTTGTTTCCCGCACGGTATGCGTAAAACAACAATTTTACCCCCACTACCGTTCTGAACAGTGACCTCGACAGGTATTACAAAAATTAGGATGTTACACGCGCGTCCGAAAAAGTGGAACTTTACGCACTAGTAACACAATATACTATTATGCACGTGTATCAAAATATTCTTTTCTCAATCAAATTGAGCTATCGGGCTGGGAGGGTAGAGTTGACCCTCTGTATAAGATACCTCGAACTTTGTGTGCTTCTTATAAGATACCCATGGTCATGGTAATTTTTCACCGAGAAAAGTAATCATAAATAGAATCGTAAGGGTCTGATGACCTTGAGCCTTAACCATGTGGGCCCCACAGTTTCAAAGGTCAAAATAGCCTTTCGACTCTTCTAGCTATTTGACCCTTAGGATCACTCCACTGGTATCCCCGTTTGACCCTTAAGCCCCTTTGAATCCAATGTTTCTATCACATAAGTTTAAGTTCCAAAAAAGAGGAGAAGAGGACTGCATGAAATAATAGTATTTAAACACGCTGTGAGTCATTAACTGTCGACATTAATTGATTAGAGGTAAAAATTTCATCGAGCGACATAGAAGAAATTTTATATAACTGATGTTAACTAATTATTAAGGAGAGGAGGAGGATTACATAGGTGTAAAACAAAGAAAAACATTTGTAACCCCAAAGAGATGAATAAATAATAAAAAAATTTCATCGAATGAGGGATCAACGAAGGAAGTATCTTATACAAAGAGGGATACCAAAATTCAGGGATATTGACATAGTCTCATGCAAATTAATTGATCCCGCAGACGAAGAATGCCAAGAGATGGACGAATACGCAAAGCGCAATAAAAATTTGCGCGAAAGAGGTGTCTCCTGTTTCAATGAAGCCTTACCAATCCTCCAATACATCTGCAGCCGCTTGGACGAGGCGCAAAGGTAAGTAACAACTTCCCCCAATCACAAAAATCAATCAAAACTCCTCAAAAATTTGGAATAAATCTCTTCAACTTGGTAGAAAAAGATATTCAACCGGCAAAAATGGGAACACGATCGTCTTTCTCCTCGAATGCCTGCACACCCTCATCTCCTCATTACCCCAGAAAATTCACACAAATGCCCACTTCACAACCTTCCTCTGGCAGAAATTCTGTCCCGCATTGATCGCATTTCTGGGTACCCCCCGTGTGGACAAAAGTTTTACATCGCGAGAGGGTAAAGACACCGAAGTGGGCCGGGGCTCTGGTTACACAACATCAGCTTTAAGCTTTGATAATCATCAAGCGAAAACCGTGTACAGGTACGAAGCCCAAAACCCACTCCCCCGTTCTGTAGAATTCCGTTCTCAAAATAAAAAAAAAACAATTACAGCATCGGCACGGAACTGGTTCGCCTCGTGGGCTGTGTCGGTCCCCTCCGGCCAGTCCTGGAGTCGGTGTTCCACCGGATGTTGCTGTACCCAACCCCCCAGCAGAGACTGGAGCCCCTGAAAGCCCTCCGAGAACTTCTTCGAAGTCCAAGCCGTATAGTAGACTTTACAGGGCCCCTTCTGATCGAAGAAGAAAAGACAAGTCAACCGCAGAGTGACATGGCCCTGATGAGACTTGCCATGGACTCCATCGAGGAGTCTACGATGGCGGGACAGTCCACTCTGTACGCAAGCGTCTCCTGTGTCGTGGCGATGCTGTCAGCTCTGCAGGAACTCTGCGAGGGCAAGGCGATCAATCACAGTTACACCTGTACGATAAACTCCCTCTACGAGAACCTGGAATCCTGTGATTATCGTGGACCTCTGACGTACCAGAGCATGGCCAGATTACCGAAGACCTATCGAGAACAGCTGGAACTGATGAAGAAGTCGAGCGGCTCGGAGTCCGATTCATCTGGTCACGGTCCATCAGAGGACGGCGATTCCACTGATACAGAAGGTCCTCAGAATGAATCCGACGACATCAACGAGGAGAACAGCATCGACGAGCACGACTATGCAATTGAAAACGAAAAGGAACGACTGCGACTGGAGAAATTGCCAAAGTGTCTTCACGTTGGCCGACAAGCAGCTGAAGAATGCAATGTTGACGTAGAAAGACACAATGCCCGTCAGTTCGTGAAGATCCTCCGAACAGATCTCATTCCCAATGTTCTCAATCTCCGGAGTAACATTGAGGTCGACGAGGCACTCCAGAGTTTCGCATCTGAATACTGTCAAGGTGTCTTCGCTGCACAGCAGAAGATACAGGATCGAACGCAGATGAGCGTTGACACGTGTGCCTTAATCACGATCATGAATGCTGATGGTATTTACTTAGCTACTTACGCAGCACTACTACTCAATCTGAAATTAATCAGAATGAATTATTACTGCTTGGAAGGTCGTCAAGTGCCGATCAGCGAGGAACAGTTTGTCGAAGAGGTTCACGGATCGGGAGTTCTGGTATACTTATCAGCGACATGGCTGTCCGAGTTGTACCAGCAGATCCTGGCCTGCAATCTCTTGGAGAAATGCGGTTACAATCCTTCATCAACCGAGAATTGCGCCTTGGTGAACATCTTGGTCGACGTTGATGGAATAAGCGAAAGCCAGCGAGGAGGACAGTTGCTGTCGGATTACCGACGTCTTGAGAAGGCCCAACTCTCCCGAAGTGAGCCAACCCCTGAGGCTGAGGCAGGTGCCAAATTATCCCGTAGGGTATTGTCCTGTTGTTGGGCGAGTATGATGACAGTTCTAACAGCTGGACTGAATCCCGTCAAGGAGGAATCCAACAAAGGTCTCCTGAATCGGGACAACACACGCCGAGGAATCCGGGACACGGTGGTTCTCGCATTGGAGGGGCTTCACAAGGCGGCGACGCTCAGTAATATTTTGGGACTGCAAAATCGTTGTGGTTCTATCTTCGCTTTATTGGCGAAAGCTGCTTGCACAGAGCCCGCGATATCGAAATTGAGGCGCACCAAGGACGTTTTGAGACTCAAATTACAAAACAGGGCGACGAATATTCATACATCACATGCGCTGAGCATGGAGGTGTTACTTGGAAGGGGATTGGAGCTTGGAAGTCATGGATCTGACTGTTGGCCGCACGTATTCACCTGTTGTTTATACGTCAGCAAACTGGAGCATGATTTCTTTGGTAGGAATCAGACTCTCTCGCTTCCAAAAGTCATCAAGAAGGAGAAGAAAGACGCGAATACATCGGATTCAAAATTAAACGACAAGAATAAACTCAACTTCAATATCGTTGATGAGGAAGAAACGTGTGTTGATGTTTACAGCTTCCTGTCGACACCTTACAGCCAGAATACGATTACCGATACTATTCCGGAGATCATTCAAGAGTCCAACGCTGATAATCAGTTCAATGGGATCCTTCCTGCTGATTACGCTGCGAAGATCATCTGTGTTTTATCGCAGCAAGTCGATAGACTGTTTGAAGATGCTGCTTTGAAGTTGAATTTGAAGGCCCTGTGTTCCTTCTTATCAGCTTTATGCTGCGCAAGTAAAGATCAGCTCTTCAAATCAACGGAGAGCTGCAGGGACAGCAATAGGTTCTGGTGGAAGAAGAGCAAGCCTCGAGAGGAAGAGTTGAATGTTCTTCTTCTTTCAAGATTGGGAGAGGTCATGCTGAAGTGTGTGAAGAGCGGACGACCTCTGATTCACGTCATGAGGATTTGGAGTATCTTAGGTCCTCATTTCATGGAAGCAGCTTGCCACAAAGATCGAGAGATCTCTAAGAAAGCAGTTCAATGTATTCACGATTCAATGGCAGCGTTGTTGAATGAGCAGATTGAACTGCCGCACTTTCATTTCAATGAAGCCCTCTTCAAACCCTTTGAGAATCTCCTATGCCTGGAGCTTTGTGACAGCGATGTCCAGGACCAAATCGTCAGCTGCATCTGCGAATTCGTTGAGACAAATAGGACTGAAATCAGGTCTGGATGGAGGCCTTTGTTTGGAGCGTTACGTGTAGCTTCTGTTGGTAATTCTGACTCTGTCGAGTCAGCACCACTTCTCGAGGTCTTTCGAGTCTTTTTATCGACTGACAATACCCTGGTGTTTGCTAATGCCGCCTTAGACTGTATTTTGTGTCTCCTGAGACATGTGCGAGGCTCGGGAGAGACCGAGACACCGCAGGATATCGATCAAATCAATAACGCAGAAATTAGAAAGATGAGATTGTGCTTGGAGAGCTTGAAGTATTTACTCAACTGCAGTGATATCTTGTCGTCAATGTACCGAATGCCTGCGTGCCCTATCTTCCATTCAGCCACAAGGATTCAACTGTCTACGATCCCTCAATACGTCGATCCAATCATTCCTAATCTGGAATTGACAAAGTTCGAGAGATCCTCGGAATCAATGCAAGAAATTGTCCCTGAGATTTCCTACGAGATTCTTTCAAGGGTGGATAAGGCACAGACGATAACTCTTCAGAGCATGGAGAAACCGAGCGGAATTCTGAGGGTCTGGTATCTTCTGATCGAGGGACTGGCTAGCGCCACAATGATCTGCCCAAGAAGATATCAACCGCACACGTTGGAAACCCTCTTCCATCTTCTTCGAGATGTCTTGAATGTCCCCGGACCGGCCTTCGGTCTCTACTGCGTTAACCATCTACTTCTTCCCATGGTTCAGAATTGGCTGAGGATGACCTCGAAGATATTCCGGGGATGGGACAATTTTGCCCCGAATTTCAAGCAGTGCTGCGGACTGACAACGGATTTGGTGGTTGACTACTTGACCCATCTCCAAGGTATGATGATTTTGGGGAGGGGTGAGATGATCTGTGGTGATTATTGTGGGTCTTCCAGGTCCTGAGGTGAAGCGAAAGGACGAATTACTTCCGGCAACTACGCTTATGCTTAAGCAACTTCTATTAGTGATGGCTGAATGCGTTGTACAGCAGACTGAGAGTATCGCGAGGTTGGGCTGCGCTTGTATCAGGTATGTTTCTCTCCAGAAATTACTGGGCTAGTACATTTTTTGTAAAGACGAGATGGACCGCGCTCATTCTTCTCATCTCCTCACATAGTGGCGCTTCGGTTTCAGTCTTACGCTTAGACTTATTCGAGATTTTCGAGATATTTCGAGATCGATTTCTTTTCTCCTTTTTACGATAGGATAAGTTTTTCGGCGAATGCACGAACTAATGGCGCCATGTGGCTAATTCGTGTTCAATGGCTCAGAAAAGGATAGCATTTATTTTTTTTTTAGTACCGCAGAAAGAGTAACAAAAAAATAACACCAGGTGAACACACAACATGGCGCCATCTATAGATCTTTTGTATAAATTTGCCCCCTATAATGACGCAACTTTTGCTCGAAACATCTTTTTATCGCAGCTACCGTTCTTGAGTTATTTCGATGTGACTTTTAATTTGTGACACCCTGTTTATACTCGAGATGGTCATAATCATAAATTAGCATTACCATTGAATTTTCCACTAGTCTGTTGGTTAATATTACTCTACAATTTTTAATTATTAAATTCACCAGCAATTAAATATTCAAATTCCGAATTATTGTATTAATCAATAATTAATTGATAAATAATTAATTATTAAATAATAATTATCAATGATTATTTGGTTAATAAAAAATCCTCTTCGTGAAATTTAGTATTACTCACTCAATAGACAATTGGCAGTCCTACATTATCAATGATTTTATTATTTTCAAATTTTGGTGATTATTTTGTTGATTACGCTCCAGAGAAAAACGTAGAGAAATGTCGCAACTCCATACGAATTCTTTCCATACATGTGACAGTGGGTCGTATAGAATCAAACCTATAGAAATCGTATAGAAAAAATTTGCATAAAAAATATCCTTATAGAAATATCCGAATATCATATACAAAAATCCTATAGAAATTCTATACGCAATCCGTATAGAAAATTTCTATACGATTTTTTCATACGGATATCTTCGAATAAAGATGTTTCGATTGTTTAGAGTTTCGTTGACGAGTCTGACAGTCATTAAAATAGTGTTAGAAATAATCTTTTCCTCTCGTGAGATCCGATCAATTAGCCCCTCATGTATAGATATTCCAAATTTTTATTTTTTTCCTCATTGAAGTAGTTTTGAAGAAAATTGGGAGCTAATAAAAAACATTTGCTAGTTAGTACTTTTTTTTAAATAAATTTTTGAAAAATCACCTCTGAAAAAAAGGCGTTATGCCCTCTATTCCATTATTTCCAAAAAATTTTATCAGCAATCGATAGCAAATTGTTTGAAGATTTTTGCGAGTTAAGAAAAAATCGTCAATGCAACCCTATTATTGTGTAAATTAACAATTCCAATTTCAACGGAAAACCAGAGTTGATGACCAGAGTTTGTAACAGAGATGTCAGACAAGATATGAATGTTTTTTTGGGCTCAAACGAAAGAGCGGGTCGAGAAATGGCGTGCTAGGACCTCTAAAGATGGTGTTGAACCAGGGGAGACTCCTAGAACCCACTGGAAAATGTTGTCACAATTGCGCTTTTCAATTGAAAACAGACATCATCTTTAGAGAGATTTGTCATCTTTAAAGACTTCTGCACGCCATTTCTCGACCCGCTCTTTCATTTGAGCCAAAAAAAACATTCATATCTTGTCTGACATCTCTGCTACAAACTCTGGTCATCAACTCTAGTTTTCAATTGAAATTGGAATTGTTAATTTACACAATAATAGGAGTGCATTGACGATTTTTTCTTAACTCGCAAAAACTTCAAACAATTTGCTACCGATTGGTGATAAAAAATTTTGGAAATAATGAAATAGGGGGGATAAATTTTCAGGGGTGATTTTTCAAAAATTTATTTTTAAAAAAGTACTAACTAGCAAATGTTTTTTATTAGCTCGGAATTTTCTTCAAAACTACTTCAATGAGGAAAAAAATAAAAATTTGGAATATCTATACATAAGGGGCTAATTGATCGGATCTCTCTCGTGACTAACTTTGTTCAATGCTGTAAGCACCTGCTGCCATCTGCTTCAGCTTTGCGAAAACGCCTTAATTGATCAATGCCTAGAAAACGATGAATGATCAATTATCTCATGATGTGAAAGCCAATGATTCATTAAAAATCGTAACTACACGATTCAGTAGTGCAATCACATACGCATGGAATGTGGGTTTAGTGGTTTTAAAGACAAAAAAAATATAAGAATATTGTATAGGTGTAAGACGATAACGAAGCTTGACAGACTGTCGGATAGGATATAAGGTAGCTTCTGATCCTACCTCTGGTTCGATACAGTGTGTCTGTATATTGGTAAAGGGTGACACTCGACACCCAGTGGAACCCGTCAAACATCCTCGTCGTGACTAAAACGTCTCCTATCGTGCATGTTACACTTTTTTTTACCAATTCTTCACTCAATGGACTTGTTTCGCGTAATTCAATACCTATTGATGATGGATACGTGACAACTTTCTTGCTGTCTAGGATTTCATAATCCGACATAACGTGATTGATAAAAATATGAATTGTCAACTGGGACAAGTGTATATCCCTTCCTTTTACAATTGACTTTGCAGGCATGTTCTTGTCAGCAGCGGACCAATTCTCACCCCAGAACAGTGGGAAGTCTGTGGTATTGCCTGCTATCGTGCCTGTTCAAATTCCCTCCAGGAATTGCATCAACTTACGATGGCATTCTCACCAAGATCCGAGTCTTTTTACGGAGACATTGCACAGGTCAAGGTTGCCGCAAGGCGTGATGCCACACCCGAGGAGTCTGAGCGTCTTCGTCAACTCTCAGCGCAGGTTTGTCACCATTTTCCATGATTCATTAGGAATTGGCTTCAATCAATCAATCAATTGTCGACAATTTGCGAAAGAAGAGCGGAGAATATTTCCATTTATTCACCGATAATTTCATTGATCTCGTGATTTAGAAGTGTCCGCCCGTGCTTGCGTCTCTCATTATCGCATTTATCTTGATTTACATTATTTTTACTTTTTTTTGCCTTCTCTTCGTTCTTCTTTTTTCTTTCCCTCCTGTGACCTGAATTGATCTCAGGTGAGCCAGCTGCGCGAGGTTATGACTGCCGTGAAGAGGCAGAATGCAACAACACTACCATCAACAGTATTCGAGGATACGATGACCATTGAGACGACACTGATCGACCAGCACACAACTTCCTACCCCGTCGGTTGTAGGCAGCACACGACACCCCCCGTATACACTAACACTACGTCGAACACGGGCCCCCATTGGCTCTAGCCGTTCACGGTAACTCACGTCATGGATTTTAATTTGCAAAAAAAAGAAAAAGCAGAAACAGATGAATTGAAGAATGAGATAAAAATTTTCTGAAGAAAAATTTTTTGATTTTCCTTGGAAAAATTTTACACACAAACCTCTTTTATTGTAATTACTACCCCCCCCCATCACCAAGGCTACGTTTGGTTATTATACATACGTTTCCCCATAACCCTATATTGTATTTTTACGCGAGTATAGTGTGTCCATTGTTGAAGATGTTATGACGTTGACAGTTATCTTCCCGTTATCGGTGATTGATTCAATTTTTGGTGTTTTGAAATGCGGGGAAAACATTCTTTACCTAGGAATTTAATTGACTAAATTGTAGATCATCAGAAGAGGATGAATAATTTTAAGGAATGTTTGAAAATACGAGGTGGTGAATAGCCGTGAGCGCCGCCATCTTGGGTGCCTTCTCCCTCTGCCGCAAGGGCCTTCAAAAATGGCGGCGCCTCCACCTCGTATTTTCAAGCATTTACTAAATCTATTTATCCTCTTCAGATCACCTTCAACTCGCTTCACGCAGTTTCTACGAGTGGAACCAATTTTTTAAGCCATCTTCCAGATTTTTCTATCTTCCCTTCGCTGAAAAATCCCCGATTCATTGAATCCATCTACCGATTTGATAACGTAAACCAGTGTTATTAGACACACATGCACCCGCTGTTAGTAAGCACGATAATGTTTTGAGATGAGCAAAACAAAATACCTAGAGGAGTCCTTTTTCAAAACCTCAGATGTCACCACGACATATCAGTGGAAGAAATTTTTAAAAAATCTTTATAATCTGCGGTAACGATTTTTCTGAATGCAAAGAACTCCTCTATGGAAACTGACATTGAAATTGCGCACGATTTTGTAATATATGTTTGAAGATATAATGAAATATATATCGTTCATCACTATTAAAATCCATGGCTTGAGTCCATGGCTAGATCACAGTTGACTAAGATGAAAAAAAACCATACGATGAGTTGAATTATTATTTTTTATTTATCATTGAGAAAGCAGCTTTCGTAGTACGCACACCACATAAACACATAAATCTCGTCCACGAAAGAGTGATTGAATATTCTATATCATTTTATCCCTCCACGAGTTCATCCAAACCGCAATGACATCACAGATATTAAACAAATTTTATTTTCCAAAGAGTATTTAGTACAACTGTTTGTAGTCTTAACCAATGAATAACCTATTTCTGTTCACAACAGTGTTTCGTATTTTGCGAATTTTATTTTGCATCCACCCATACTAACCTCACAATGTTCAAGTTATGAAAAAGCTCTACTATAATCCGTTTAAATTGGCAAAATAAGTACTCATTATTTTCGTTATTTTTTTTCTTATGAATTCTCAGGTATTTCTTCTTGCTGAGCAACGACCTGAAAATCCCCAACAGCATTCGGATGAAAGATCCTACGTCTTCCTGTTGTACCCACCGTCGGTCGCCTCGACGTTGAACCCTGATTTATATATTGTACGGGTACAATTGAGAGCATTGGTTGTTGGTTTGTTGGTGCATCAGATGTTGTTGCAGTGCATTGCTAGTGTCCTTCTGCCAGGCTCTGGAGGCTCAATATCATGGTGAGTATGAAAACAATGAGATGACACAGTTGGTCGATATGTTAAATTGACGAGTGGCGGCGCTGAAGCTTACAAGATGGCTGACATAAAATTTTCCACTTGAAAATTTTCAATCAGGCCTGAAAACCCATTTATTATTGGAGAGCATAATTAATTGAATCATAGACAAACTCCAACAGCGTATATCAATGCGAAGTTTCTCCTAACACCACTTTTGCTGATTTCATTCTAAACGTTGTACGTCGGCCATGTTGAAGCGTCAGCGCCGGGTTGGGGCCAGCAGGTGAACGGAATTCCGGGGATTCCCCGAGAAAGGAAAATGAAACCAGATTCTTATCAATTGAAAAGTTTACTTCTAATCAATTGATATCAATAATTAATGACTCAATACGTGTTTAAATACTATTATTTCATACAGTCCTCTTTCCATCTGGTATTCGAAGATAACCTCACGTGACAGAGACAAGTGGAGGGATCATAAGGGTCATATGAGCCCATGAGACCGATATAATGAACTGTGCGCATCTCTGGTTCACCCCTTACGATTACTCATTTCTCGTTAAAAAATTACTAGAACCATGGATGTCTCATACAGAGATCCTGATCCTTTCACCTTCCTAATCACCATCAAAAACGAAATCGCCGCCCTACAAATTTGAACATATCTTCCCCAATTTCAGCTTTACGAACGTGATACCAAACTCCACCTCACCAACATCAAAAATTCCCCCAACAAGCTGTATATCTCATCTGACCTCTCCTCACATCGATACATTCTTAGCTGCCCTGGACCTCGCCTATGCGGCGTCCCTGAAATTCGACGCCCGTCCAGGGCTCAAATTTCTCCTTCAAAAAGTCGCAAATTTAGATCAGCCCGCAAACCTCTATCGACAAGCAGGAGCAGCCTGGACTATTAAAATTCTAACGCTCTTTGAGCTTTGTCTGGCCGAGATAACGAAAACCGGAGCCGATCTTGAGATAGTCAAAGCTATCGTTTCCAATCACAATCTCGAAAAATCGCAGGATAAAGTTAGATATCGTCAGCTAGTCAAATATGTTAAGCAGCTTCGAACGACTTTTGAGACTCTGTGCGAGAATTATGTTGATGTTGCGTTGAACCGCGATGGGAAATATTCTTTGGCTGATAGTTTTGCAGAGAGGAAGATTTTCCTACTGGTCGCCCAGCCCGACGATTTTCCAGAGATCACGAGCAAGGAGTCCATGGACGTTCGAACGTTTCATCCTATGAGTCCAGAGGCAACTGCTAATGATCATGAGAGAACGGGTGAATCCAATCTCGTGGGCGAGGATAATGGAAAAATTGAGGAGGAATACCGATCTCTCAAGCTTTTTGATTTGGCTTCTGACTATTATTTGGAATCTGGACCAGAGTCGGAATCAGAATCCGATGATTCACGACCATCTTCACGACCAACATCTCCGAGAAAACGAATTATTTATCGAGCAAAATCACCGGATAATTCAGAGGGAAATAATTGTTCTGAAAAGAATTCGCCAGAAATTCCAGTGATTTCTATTGATAGATTAGCAGAAACGCACACTAATGACGTAAAAATTCCCGACATCAACGATTTTGATAGTAAATATATTACTCAGGAACAAACAAATTTCAACATTACCTCGTTTGATAATTTCAACGTTGAAAGGATAAAAAGTGAAAATAGTTTACTATCCAGAAGAAATTCTCTGAAATTTATAATGAATTATGATTTAAAAGATGACGAGTATTTTTCAAAATTCCAGAGATCAAAATCTCTGATGGAGTTGCACAGAATTTACGATGATAATTACACTAAAGTGTCTTCGATATATCGAATTAACAATGAGCCTTTTAAGAATAAATTAGTTGATGAGCAGCAAGAATCTACGGATAATGCAGGGAGTTCGATGATAAATTCGAGATATGAGGACAATGTTGATGATTTATTGAAAGAGTACGAGAAGAGTAAAAGGGGATTTAGGATAAACCCCTTCTTGCAGGATTATGAAGGCAATTTGGTGGAGAGAATATCAGAGAGTGCCAAGGGGAAAGCCATTGGGAGGGATAGTGAAGCGCATCGGAGGGCATGGGCCGAGACACTTTGCGCTGCTCTGGAGTGGGCTCTTGCACTTACGGTGAGTGAAAATTTTTATGCCAATCTTGAAGTTCGTAATAGGAACATTTCATGATTTTTGTGTATTTTTTTTACTTGATAATTAGGGGGTTACGCCCCCGGCTCGCATCGCTCACCAACCACGGGGGCCGCCCCCTCGCTCGCTTCACTCCCCAACGCCGGGACCATGCTCACCCTCTCGCTTCGCTCCCCAACCTAGGGGCTACGCCCCTCGCTCGCTTCGCTCCCCAACCTAGGGGCTACGCCCCTCGCTCGCTTCGCTCCCCAACCTAGGGGCTACGCCCCTCGCTCGCTTCGCTCCCCAACCTAGGGGCTACGCCCCTCGCTCGCTTCGCTCCCCAACCTAGGGGCTACGCCCCTCGCTCGCTTCGCTCCCCAACCTAGGGGCTACGCCCCTCGCTCGCTTCGCTCCCCAACCTAGGGGCTACGCCCCTCGCTCGCTTCGCTCCCCAACCTAGGGGCTACGCCCCTCGCTCGCTTCGCTCCCCAACCTAGGGGCTACGCCCCTCGCTCGCTTCGCTCCCCAACCTAGGGGCTACGCCCCTCGCTCGCTTCGCTCCCCAACCTAGGGGCTACGCCCCTCGCTCGCTTCGCTCCCCAACCTAGGGGCTACGCCCCTCGCTCGCTTCGCTCCCCAACCTAGGGGCTACGCCCCTCGCTCGCTTCGCTCCCCAACCTAGGGGCTACGCCCCTCGCTCGCTTCGCTCCCCAACCTAGGGGCTACGCCCCTCGCTCGCTTCGCTCCCCAACCTAGGGGCTACGCCCCTCGCTCGCTTCGCTCCCCAACCTAGGGGCTACGCCCCTCGCTCGCTTCGCTCCCCAACCTAGGGGCTACGCCCCTCGCTCGCTTCGCTCCCCAACCTAGGGGCTACGCCCCTCGCTCGCTTCGCTCCCCAACCTAGGGGCTACGCCCCTCGCTCGCTTCGCTCCCCAACCTAGGGGCTACGCCCCTCGCTCGCTTCGCTCCCCAACCTAGGGGCTACGCCCCTCGCTCGCTTCGCTCCCCAACCTAGGGGCTACGCCCCTCGCTCGCTTCGCTCCCCAACCTAGGGGCTACGCCCCTCGCTCGCTTCGCTCCCCAACCTAGGGGCTACGCCCCTCGCTCGCTTCGCTCCCCAACCTAGGGGCTACGCCCCTCGCTCGCTTCGCTCCCCAACCTAGGGGCTACGCCCCTCGCTCGCTTCGCTCCCCAACCTAGGGGCTACGCCCCTCGCTCGCTTCCCTCCCCCCCGCGCATCCATGCGAGTGTGATCCAGAGGAAATCGATAGCTCCATAATTTTCTAAAATTCCACTGTAGCAGAGGATGTTCATATGTTATATGAAACATTCAATGAATTGATCATACCAACCACGGGAGCCGCCCCCTCGCTCGCTTTACTTCCCAGTCTAGGGGCCACGCCCCCTCGCTCGCTTCGCTCCCCAACCTAGGGGCTACGCCCCTCGCTCGCTTCGCTCCCCCCCGCGCATCCATGCGAGTGTGATCCAGAGGAAATCGGCAGCTTTATAATTTTCCAAAATTCCACTGTAGCAGTGAATGTTCATATGTTATATGAAACATTCAATGAATTGATCATATGTGCTCCACTGTTAGCAGATAAAGACGTCCATAAGTATAAATGACACGTTCATTGAATTAATATTGAACGTCTTGCAAATGTATTGCACCCGCTCCAAATATCTGATCCCCCTATACATGGACACTCCCCAATTCATGTAAAATCATACCCAAATTCACATTTAATTTAAGATATTATCCCATCATAAACTGTTATTTCCTAATACAAAATAATTTTCTCATTTCAGGATGAAAACCTGAAACCACTTCTTCCAGTCCTAGTCGGTGGAGTTAGAACCCTTACAAAGTTCGCAGTTGATCAAAATCTCAAACAGAAACTCTCTACTCTATTTCATCGTATCGTCGTACTCTATGGCTTGACAAATAACTAGAATATCTGATAATTTTAATTTAAAGCTTAATTATTAAATTATCGAAACATAAGGTTATGCAGGCTGTATAAAATGGTTGACTGAAAATTAAGAGAAACACATATTGATGAATTTTAAAAAAGTATTCGATATCCAAGTGTATTTTAAAGGAATATCTATGTCTTGGGAAAAAAGGAGGTGAATTTTTCGGAGGACGTGTACTCCATTGTCTTCGACAAGCTGATGCTGATACGATCATATATGTAATGCATGAACATTGTCATGTTTAAATGTAAAATGTATGATACTGTATGATTATGCCCAATATATTATTTTTCGAAGTGCTGTTGCTCATAAAAAGAAAATTGAAAAAAAAAAACAAAAAGAGAAAAAAATTGGAATATTTGAGAAAAAGGGAGGTGTTTTCTGACTGCTGGCAAATAATGTATTGACTGCTACATCAAAAGAATAAATATATCGACAATATAAATCCTAATCCACATTTGAAAGCATTTTGAAGACTTAATGATGCGCTCAACATCGATTATACCTTCTTCCTTAAAATCCATAAATCAAAACAAATGAAAAAGGAGAAGAATTCTCCGAGAAAAGGAGACAATGTTTCACGTCTGCGGTTCCGACGCGCTCCAACCGCGTCATTCGTGGCTCATAAAGTCGAGAAGCTTACGAGCGACATTCCCTTCTACTTCAACCCCACCCGCTTAACTTCACGACGATAAATGCCACTAGCAACTCAAGAAGGGGGACAAGTCTTAAAAATGGAGAGGTGTGAAACAATGGCGCAAGATAAGATATTAGTTGGTGGACAATTGTTGACTTCCCGGGTCGTGGAGGTTAAGAAATTTGGTCCAATCGATCAATGACGATTAGTTACGAATGTTTTTTTACTGGATTTTCACATTGAAAACATATGGAAGATGCTTAAACATTTTTTTCAACCTATAGAAACCTGATGGACCGAGTTAAAAATGATATGGGAAGAATAAATAATTTTGAGGAATGTTTAAAAATGGTCGGAGGTGGGAGCGCCGCCATTTTTGAAACCCCTTGCACCAGAGGGAGGGGATATTGAAGTGAGATGGCGGCGCCTACATTCATTCAGATCGTAATTTTGATAATTTTTTAGAATTATTCATCTTTTTTAGATCACCTTCAACTCATTTCATGCAGTTCCTAAAAGATGAACAAATTTTTCAAGCTATCCTTCAGATTTTTCCATGCCTTCTTGACTGGGAATTCATGAAAATGAACTTGACAGAGCTGCTGGACACCCCCAAAGAGTGCTTGTAAATTGACCGACCGACCACTCGCATTCTAATGGGTAATTCTTCTTTTGAACAATAAACTATGATCGCGGAACGTCAAATAAACAATTTTCAATCAATTTTAGGCATTGCAACTATTTATTATCAACACTTTATTTGTTCAAATAGCCGTAGCGCTTAAACTATGAAAGATATACGAAAATTTTCGGATCACGAATCATTTACAATTTGATAAGGAATAATTTTCATCTTTTGTCAGCTTCACAGAGTGCTATGTCTGTTTGCGTAACTAGTTTATTGCTCATATCCCGGAATCTCCGAGAGATACGTAAAATTGATAAAAGCCAAAAATTATTCCTTACTAAATTCTAGATGATTCATGATTTAAAAATTTCCATCTATACTTCATAGTTTGGGTGCTAGGTCGATTTGAAGAATTTAATTGTTAATAATCAATAATTCCAATGCCTAAAATTAATTGAAAATTGTTTACTCGACGTTTTGTGATCATATTTTATTGTTTAAAACAAGAATGACGCATCAGAACGCGAGTGATCGGTACATGTCTGAAAATCGAAGGTATCCCGCAGCTCTATGATGATGAAGACGTGAACGGCCCGAAGCGACGAGAGAGTCAAACCGACCAATGCTACAATGGATTTTCACATTGGAAAAATCTGAAAGATGGCTTTAGAAAATTGTTCTCTTCATATAAACCAGATGAAGTGAGTTGAAGGCGATTTGTAAAGCATAAATAATGTTACGAAACGTTTAAAAATACGAGGTGGAACTGCCATCATCTTTGAAACGTATTGCGGCAGATGGCGGGAGTATCCAAGCAATATGGCGGCGCCCACATTTGTCCACCTCGTGTTTTCCAATATTCCTTAAAATTATTTATCATCTTCAAATCACCTTCAATTCATTTCATCCAGTTCCTAAGAAATGAACAAATTTTTCAAGGTATCCTTCATGTTATCTTTCCTGTTTCATTGAGAATTCCTGCAAAATAAACCTCTCACAAATCCCGTTATCCCCCAAAAAATGCCTAATTCATAGACGATATATCGTGGGTTTGATCAATGATAAAGGCGTGAAGGGTCCGAAGCGACGTGAGAGTCAAATCTACCAATGCTTCAATGGTACTACCAGCCGAAACCGCAACTATCCATCGGCACACGCAGGCAAACGTTTAAATATTATATGGTTGAGTCTCTGGGAGTATTCAATGGTGTTTCGTGATCGTAAAAGCGATGCCTCTGTGATAAAACGATCGTCTTCAAGAATTTTACGGGTTTAAATTTTATTTTTAAAAAATTATTTTTCTCCTATTCACCTTTTCTAATATTAAAGTCACGATTTACCCAATTTTTTAGTACTCATCAATGATAGATGAAGCGTTTGCGGTTGAGACAATCGATTTACTTCACGACAGATAGTCGACCCCTTTTTACGGTACCATTTCATTATTATTGAGACCTTAAAGTCCGACTTTTCTCGAGTCCAAATTGAAAACAGTTGGATTGACATGACCACAGAAGGAGTTCTTTATCATCAGGAGGGAAAAAAACTTCAATTCTAATATTTCACGATAATTTTATTTTCAATGTAAAATATTATATGTACATAATCAGAATGAGATAAATTACAACTGAGTTCATTGTCTCCCAATGAGAAATAAAACAAGAAGATACATTGACACTATCACTATCCAGTGTTCAATAAGTCTCCAAAAATCACTGATAAACTTGGCTGAAAAGTCTAGTACGGCCGCCACACGTCATTTCTCTGTTCATTCTCCTCACCTAGAACACCAATCTCAAGTCTATTACTGCTTATCGTTAAGTTACCACCGGCAATTGTCACTTGATCATCACTCAAATCACCATGAAGATGAAGATGTATCTGATTCTGATTGACAGTACTGTAGAGCTGTGGATAGAGTACCATTGGCGTTGGGCTTATGTAGTTTTGACTTGGACTGTTGTAATAACCTTGATAATTTGTGTTGTAATTGTGAGATGGTACGGGCACGGGTGTTGTTGGTCCAGATGTCCACGAGCCGTAATGATAACCCGACGTACCACCACCTGGGCCACTTCCGGGGAAGATTTCCGTGTCTGATGGTTTAGCTGGTATCAGGGGAAGGGTTGACGTCGGCGTCGAGTGATTTGGATACATTGACACGCAGTTTGGGGTGTAGGCATCTTGGGGGGTGTCCGATGGTAGCACTGAAATTTCAAGAAAATAATTTCATTTGAAAAATCGGTGGAAACTGGTGATTTCAGTTCAATTAGTGCATATTAATGGATAAAGTACAGCAGAAAATACAGTGAGAATGTCGCCATCTTTGAAGCTATTTGCGGCAGAGAGAGAGAGGGTATCCAAGCAAGATGGCGGTGCCCACATTTGTCCACCTCGTATTTTTGAATACTTCTTAAAATTATTTATTTTCGTCGAATCGCCTTCCGCTTATTTCATATGGTTTTTAGAAAGTGAACAAATTTTTTAAGCTATCCTTCCGATTTTTCCATCTCATCTCGACATAACTAATGTAACTGATAATTTACAGTTGACACACGCAAATATTATAACAAAATCTAAAAAAGGGCATAGGAGTGTAGGCGTCTTGGCGTCCATTTTGAAAAATCGATGGAAACTGGTGATTTCAGTTCAATTAGTGGATGTTAACGGATAAAGTAGAGTATAAAATACAGTGGGAACGCCACCATCTTGGAAGCCATTGACGGCAGAGAGAGAGAGGGTATCCAGCAAGATGGCGGCGCCCACATTTGTCCACCTCGTATTTTTGAACACTTCTTAAAATTATTTATTCTCTTCAAATCACCTTCCACTTATTTTAAACGGTTTTTAGAAAGTGAACAAATTTTTTAAGCTATGCTTTAGATTTTTTCATCCCTCCTTGATTGAGAAGTCATTACAATGAAATTTCGACAAATCCCGTCATCACCCAAATTGTTTCACGGCAGCACTAAATAACAAGTGTAATTGATAATTTACACTTGACACACGCAAATGTAACAAAACCCCTAAAAAATTCTCGAGGCCATGGGTAGCGCACGGAGTTACAAAATAAAATCATAGTTTAGTGATTGCAAAAAACCGGTTTGAGCGGTTTGTTAGTTTTTTGGTTTATTGATTTGTTGTTTTTGAATAGATTAGTTTATTGGGTTTGTTTGTTGTTTCCTGTGTTTACCTGCAGGTAATGGCACAGGTTCAGTTGTCGGATGGTGGGACAGGGATTCCCCTGGATATGTTGAAAAAGCACCTCCTGGAAGTGGTGAGTAGGACCCGCCGTCGCTACCAGAGGGAGCTGGGTAAGATGGCGCTGCTGACGGGTAGCTCCATTCGGCGGTGCTTGCAGCATTATCTATAACATCGAACAATAAATAAAATTTACTAAGACACAAATTTCTAACAAAATTATTCCAACCGTTTCCATTCATCTTCAAAAAACTCCCACTTCCTCAGCCATTAACGGTCATAACAGCAATTTTAATTAGAAATGAAATGAAGGAAAAAATTCAGAGAAAATCATTCTTTCATTATTTACCAACGTTTCGAACATACAATGTGTTTTTCAGCAGAGGGCATTTGTTTATTCTACATATAAAAACAAAAAATATTTGTTCATAAACAACTATTACAAATCAATTCTATTGCCAATGTATTGCAACGAAATTATTCATAAAAATTAAAAAACATACCTATTCATCAACCCATTAGTTATGTAAAGGTTGTGACAACAATATACTAATCCAAAGAAAATCACGAAAATAAACATAACACCGACACTAAACAGACACCTGTCGGAGCCCTTCATAACCTATGAGTTCACGTACGAAAAAATTTAATAGAAAAACCTAACGATTTCGCTAGACAATTCTATTGGATTTCTATTGAACTTTCTATTAGTTTGGGGCGATTCTAGTAAAATGTGCCCTAGAAAATATTTTACAGAAAAGTCTATTGAATTCCATTTTTTTATACAACTTATTCTATTGGGATATTTTCTACAGAAAGTTTTTCGGCTCAAATTTGCTAAGTTTTTTCATTCCACTTTTCTTTTCTTTTCTTTAAGGAAATCCAATAAACAAATTGGAAAATTTGAGTCCAGAAAATTCTGTAGAAAATATCTCAATAGGATAAGTTACGTAGAAAAATCGAATTCTATTGAGTTTTTCTGTAGAGTATCTTTTAAATAGAATCGGCCAAAAACTAATAGAAAGCTTAATAGAAATCCAATAGAATTGTTAGCGGATTCGCTAGGTTGTTGTTGGAATAAACCTAAACAATACAGCAACAGTAAACTGGAACCACAAGTAATGATTATTATAACGAGCTTCAGTTAATGATGTATTAGATCAAAGTGGCTATAATGTAATTCTTAAAGATGCCAACAAACACTAAATATGAAAATGTGAAAACTCTGAATTTCTAATAAAAAAAAAAAATTCTTCCTTTATAATCTAGATGAAAAATCGGTTTCTCCGAGGAAAACTTCAGCCATTTCTCATTGTTTATAATTGAGGCAACAATTTTATTCTTCTCAACAGAATCAGTGTTTTTTCCTCAATCTATTTCGAGATCACGGAGCAGTTCCTCTAATTATGAATAGTTTCATGTAGAGCCACCACTCGCTGCATGATTCACACCAATTAATTGCTGCTCTCTACTATTACTCATTCCCTGTAGTCAACGGAGAGCAGCGAACGGTAGTCATAAGCCATCAGTGACTGCATATCAATGAACTAAACTCGCTAAACTCATTCAAGAAACAAAAGCCTCGTTGAACACTGACTTTGACATCTCCTTGACGATTTCAACTTGCATTGAATATTCAACAAATAAAATGAAAATTGTATTAATTATTTCACGGGCCAAATTCACTTGGCATTCACTTAAGCGTCCAGCAATTGGCCTGGTCACCCTACAATGTCATTATGTTCTGGGGATTCTCACATCGTGCTCATTCGCACGTTTTCATACAGCGTTTGATGCGTATTAGCAGGCAGGGATATTCCGTCTTGAATGACGCACGGAATTCATTCATGAAGATGTGTCACGTATGCGTGAGAATTTCTTTCCTCCAATTATGAGGTTTTGTTGGTGCATGGACATTTGAGATGGCGACAATTATTCCATTTGGATAATTTAGGAGAATAGAACTAGTGAGAAGAAATTACGAGGAAAACATTTTGACTGGAATATTCTATTGGATTTGTATTAAACTTTATATTAGTTTTTGGACGATTCTATTGGAAAATTTGTCAGCTTATCTGCGCGTGTTTTGGCGAGAGAAATGTTTAATGGAAAATATTCTATAGGAAAAATTAACAGAATTCGATTTTTCTGTACAATTCGGTTGAAATATTTTCTATAGAATTTTTCTGGTGTGATTTTCATAAGGTTTTGTTCAATGTTTTTAATTGAACGAGACGGAAAATAGAGTGGAATTTTGAAAATTCATGGCGAAAAATTAGGATAGAGAATGTCTCAGTGGGCAATAATCTATAGGAAAATGAAATTCTATTGATTCTATTCTATTTTTGTATGGATTTTTTTTTATTCTATTGATTTAAAAAAAAATAGTTTCCAAAGCTGCGGAGTTTTTTCATAGAATCAGCCAAAAACTTCGAAGAAAATTCTGTTAAACATCCAAAGATATTTTCCCTGATTAATTATGTAATTTGTGAATGCTATTCAGTTTTATATTCAGAAGCTCCGTGACATTCCACGATTTCTGGATTTAATCATAATACCAGGAAGTCTATATTCGGGTAAACCAGTTTTCAACTGTCCACTAATGGATGAAGCTGACTATGTGTAGCCTGGAAATTAGCGTCATTCGCATATCATTTCCCATTACGAATTCCGGGTGTCATAGAAAGAATAAAAATTCCCATCAATTTCAGTAGCGAAGTGGTAAAACGGTTTAAGGATATCTACGTTTTTTGGTTATTTTTTCTCCGGCTTTTCTGCTTTTGCTTTTCTAAGTTCCTGGACATTTTACAATGATTTTATTATTTAAACTTTGCAGCTCTGAATTTGAATCTCGATATTGAACCGTTAGACAACATTTAAGAAATCTGAAAAAAATTAGTTTACTTTTGGAGAAAGATTGATAAAATAATTACAAAATTGCAATTTTTGAAAGTTACGAGCATTTTCTTTGAATAATCTGTAAACAATCACGTTTCCACCGTAAAAATCATTTGCTAGGAATTGTAACAAATTTATTCATATTCAGAAATTTAGCAGAAATCGGTTTCATGTCTAAAAAATAAGATTTCTGAAAGTTTAAACAATGAATGTGTAAAAAAATGATAATTCCATGCAAAATGGAATTTTAATGACGCAGAATATTCATGATTTTTAAATTTTTTTTTCATTTCAGCCCCATTTGACTCGAAATTTCCGGACATTTTACAATGATTTTATTATTTAAACATTGCAACATTGTGAGTGAATTTCAATCTCGATATTAAATCTTTAAAAAACATTTTAAAAATCTGAAAAAAAAAATTAGAAAGATTACTTTTGAAGGAAGATTGAGAAAATAATTAAAAAATTGCAATTTTAGAAAATTGCGAGCATTTTTCGTAAACAATTTATAAACAATCAAGCTTCCACTGTAAAAATCATTTGCTAGGAATCGTAAAAAATTTATTCGCATTCAGAAATTTACCAGGCATCGGTTTCATGCCAAAAAAATAGGGTTTCCAAAAGTTTAAACAATTTCAATTATTTATTTATGTAAATAACGAAGCTAAAAAAATAATAATAATTCTGCACAAAATGCAATGACGCTGCATATTCATAATAAAAAAAAAATTTCACGCAATTCAATTGACCAATTTGTTGATGACCAGACTGTAAAATATACTTGGATATCTTCAATATTGGAAAATAGCTTTCCATAGGAAATTCATTGAATATCAGAAGCTAATTATGAACGACAAATAAGTGATACCCCAATGTCTAAAACTATGTCAGCTTGGGGAGCTCGTTTGCGAGGTCAAGGTCATGCTGACCATTACTTTCCAGAGATGACCATCTCAAAGGAAGACCGCCTACGGGTGTATTTCAACGGAGAATAAGTGGGGGGAATATGGGGCCGGTTGGAGGGAGGAATGATTACCGAAAGTGGTGCCTCTGTGTATTTGCCGCTTTTACGGGAACAACAATCGCAAAACAAAGGGGCCACGGCATCCTAGTGAGACGGTTGAACGAACCATCTGTTGGACAACAGCTCGGGGTGATCATCTTTATATTTCTCTTCTCATTTTTCCTTTCTTTTGCACTTCCCATCCTAGTGCACGAAATAGCCAGGATGAGAGACAATTCGTACCGAAAGGAGTTTCTTGTTTCTTGTATTTATTTATTTTTCAGTGGATGAATGTTCCTATTGAAAATACTCCCCAGTATTTCAGTGAATTTGCGATTTGAATGTGAAAGGAATATTTTTATCGAATTTCGCGCACCCGTTGGAGAAATTGGATGGACAGTTGGAGCCCCAGATGTTTGAAGCTTTGGCTCTGCACTTTTTTGAAGATACCCATGGCTTCGGTGATTTTTCAATGGAAGGAGAGTGATCATAAGGGTCTAACGATCTTAAGGGTGCAACCTCCCTTAAAAGGACAGAAGACTAGATGAAATAATAGTACACGGAGAGAAATGTTCAGTAAAAATTACAGAACTCACAATTTACTCACCGATTACGGAAACGACTCAGAAAATTTAAGTGACAGTATCGTAATTTTTCATAGGAGATTCCGATACGAAACGTTCTGGAAAAATTCCGGGACAGTTCCGTGAAATTTGCTACAACCACATTTCGCTCTGGAATTACGGAAAAGATACGTAATTTTTATTGAATATTTCTCTCCGTGTATTCAGACACGTATTGAGTCATTAATTATCGATATTAATTAATCAGAAATAAGAATTCACTTAATTAGCAAGAAGCGAAGGAGGTATCTTATATACAATGTCTGGTTCCTATTTTTCTCCTCTCTACCCGGGCGAGTGGGACCTCTTATATAGAGAGTGTACCTCAGACAATACTACCCAAAAGTTAGTCCCTATGGATTTCCGGAAACAATTATGAATGACTTAATTTTTTGCATTCTTATAAATTATTGAGTTCTATCCTCACATGTTGTTGTTGAAAGTAATAATAACTCTTTGAATCAAATAAGAAATTGTTTCGCGAAATTTCCATTTTTTAAGTTGAGCATCGCAGAAGCTATGCACTAGAAAATTTTGAAAAAAATTCACCGTATTCGGTTTTTTAACCCTAGTCTGGTCACCTGGCGGGAAAACGCGACTTTAGTCACCTTCGCGGGAGAGTGCCGCCGAGTTATTTAG